CAAGTTCTGCTATCATGGATCGATAACCACTAGTGAAACTGTGAAGAGGATGTACAGAAAAGTCAGGAAGGCTGGAATCACATATAACAAGCCGCAACAAAATCTGTTGAATTGCTGTTAGTATGTCAGTGAAAGTCTGTTTATATATAACAGCGATTCGATTCAGTATTGATGTATACCTCAGCAGCATGCATCCTTACCAAGAAGGAAGCGAATGCGCTGGGCGTATCTGAATGGTCGTGTTGGCGCTGAATACTCGGCTATGGATTGACTAACAGTATCACGAATGCATAATTGCTCGAATATACATGAACGAGAACGAGTATAAATGAAGTTCGCCGGGCATGGAATAGTATCAGCTTTCCCTCTGGCGAATATAAGATACTAAAACTGTCGATTCTCGGCCACGTACTGTGACGGGACGACAAGCAGCTGATCAACATCTTGACTTGTTGTGTCCCTAACCTATCCTGGAAAAGGCCAAGTTGCAGGCCATTAATTGTTGAATAGTATCAAGGACGAACTATCGGATACGCTTATGGGCCGCATCTACTGGCAAACTCGAGCCTAGCATGGTACAGTGATTGGCTTGCAGTAATATCTGATATTGTTCAGGACAGAATACAGCGGCAAATGATGACAAGAAGCGTAGAATGACGTAGCCCCATTGGGATATCCAGTAATTCAAAAAGTCAAGTCCATCAAAAGCCCTAATATTGTAACAGATGTTTAAAACTTTTATGAAATGCTGAAACAAAACTGAACTTTAGGGCTTTAATCTGTTTTGCTGTCCTGCGACTGCTATCTTCGACCGTCACTTTAAGTTCAGGTGCTTTTTACGATACTGCTTCTCGTTATACACATACGAATCTTCTCCACTCAGATAATTTAAAACCAGTTTCTAAAATTTGCATAGATTCCATACTGGGGATGATTGACTACTAGTGATTGACAGAAGAACGTGTTAAAATACACAGGATCGTCATTGTTTACACCGTTCGCTGCATCTTGTGCGCAGCTTTATAACTGAAACATGGTTAATCTATCTGATGTTTTTTGCAAATAGGTATTTAACTGCGATTTCAAGTATTTCGCTCTTGTAATGATATCGATAATAAGAAATTAAGTACCGTACGAAGATCTGGTGGCAGAAACAACCGGAAAATCAGATGGGAAACATTATCTTCGGTGGACACGAGAGCGAAATTTGCAAACAACATCGCACCACGGTTTGAACAGATCCAAGTGATGACAACTGATGTCGAAACAGAGTGGCAGCTGTTTAGGAGAGGCCTACTCGCGGG